AAAGGCATGTACTTCTTCATGATCTTTCTGATCTCTGGCTTGTCCACCGCCATGTCCCACGGCGTTTTGCCCTGATGTGATGAGATGAGATGAGCACACCACTCGACCCATCGATTATGTAAATGTCTGTGTTCGCTCACCTCGTTGTTTTTTATATCCAACAGAGCACCGCCGCCCCACTCGAGCCTTTTGACACACACATAGACACAGGGAGAGAGAGAGAGAGAGAGAGGGACTCCGAGTGGATGAGATGTTCGAGTCAGTCATTTATCTGTCTTCTTACAGCTGAGACACAGCTCCAGTGTGGAGAAAGCAGCCTGCAGCCTCATGGAGTGCTGTGTTTCCGTCCTTTGTGTGTCATGCACACAAGGAAAGACAATCAAGCAGTGAGAGAAGACTGTGTTGTCTCACGTTGTCCATCTCTGTGAGTAGCTTTGTTCCTCGTTTGGCATACAGAACCTTCATCACAGCAAGTTTGCCACCTGAGGCAGCCTGCATGAATGGCGTGGTGCCATCCTGCAATCAACACACACACACAATCGACACACACCGAGGCGTCAGAGACATATGTGTGCTCTCTTACATTGCTGCGTTCGTCGATTAGTTTCAAATCCCAATCTACCAGCTGATTAATCGCCACAACATGACCCGCCTGGGCAGCCTCATGCAAGGCTGTGTTACCCCACTGTTGCATTCCATCAGACCCAACACACATCTCCTCATTACCAGCAGCACACAGGATGGTTTGTCTGTGTGGACACCTTGTCTGTTTGCTTCAGTACGTCAGGTTTGCTCTCATACATGGCCTCCATCACATCGACATGACCCTCCCAGGCAGCCCATATGAATGGCGTGATGCCATTCTGCAATCCACACACACCCCGAGGTGTCAGAGACATGTGTGTGCTCTGTTACCGGGGTGCGTGCGTCGATCAGTTTGGGATCCCACTCCAGCAACTTATTGACCATCGCAACATGGCCCCTGTTGGCAGCTAAGTGCATGGCGGTGTTACCAAACTGCATTCCATCACACCCAACACACATCTCCTCATCATCACTAGCCGCACACAGGGTGGTTTGTCTGCGTCGGTCGGTACCTGGTCTGTTTGCTGCAGTACGTCAACTTTGCTCTCATACATGACCGACATGACGCCCACGTGACCCTTGTTGGCAGCCCAAAGGAAGGGTGTCAACTGCGTGCGAGAACGAGACCACACAGACAGACCACTGAGTGTATTTCTCTCGTCGTCACGATTCCATACCCCGTCGTTGTCTCGTTTGTCGAGTATATCCTTGCCCTCTCGCTCGATGAGCAAATGAACCGACTGCTCATCGCCTTTTCTGACGGCATCGAAGATGTCAGCCTGCCACACATCCAGCACAAGAACAGCGTCCCTTTGACGTGTGGGGTTCAGCTGCTGTGTCCCTTACGTGTTTGATCTGCGGCTGTGGGGCGCTCGGTGGTGTCTTCACTGACGGCTGCTGTGTAGGGAGCGCTGCAACACACAAACCATGGATGACCAGTCGTATGTCTCTCCATGTGTTGTCTTCGTGCCTTCCACACCGACCTGTCTGCTCTTCCGCAACCACAAGTTCGACCTGTGCTGGATGGACCGTACTCGGCGGCCCCGGCACTGTGCTGACCATGCTCGTGTGAACACCCGGTGGAGCGCCAGCGGAAGGCACGTCAACGGGAGACACAGGGGAAGGGGGAACCAACACCGGGTCTGCACACAGTCAAGCAGTCAAATGGGGGCTTTCTCGTGTCAAAGTGGAGCGTCAGTGGACCTGCGCTCTTTGACGGACTCGCCGGAATACCCAGCTTGGCCAACAACTATCACAGTCAGGCAAGCAGACACGACATGCCGACGCGTTTGTCCAGTGGTGCGTGTCAGGTACCTCTTTGGCTGTGGGGCGATCTTCCGGCTTGAAAGCAAAACAACTCTGATCACCGTCACAATCGGAAGGGAAATGCAGCACACGAGAAGGGCTCTCGGTTTACCTTGATGGCACTTTTGATGTGCTCAGGCAGGAAATCGGGGATGCGGGGGGTCTGACAGAAGTAGGCAGAAAGAGAACTTCAGAGGATCTGTGAACATGTGTCAACGTGGCAGGTCACCTGCTTCCGGACGACAACGGCGGTGATGATAGTGAGAGGTGCTTGGCCCTCAAAGGGAGGCCCGCCTGAACATTACAAGTGAAGGCTACTGTCTCGGACTGAAAGTGCATCTGCTGACCGCCAAACAGCTGCGCGATAATGCATCCAACCGCCCATATGTCCGCCTCCATAGAGGGTTTCCCCACTGCACACACCGGCGGTGATTCAAGTTCCCAAGGCGACCGTCTTTTCTTGCACTCACAGTTGTCTGGATCCAATGATTCAGGCGACATGTAATTGGGGGTTCCCTTAATGCCGCCTGCAGTCCAGGGACGGATGCACCAACACACACAGACGCACCTCGCTTACCGCATTCCGCCATCCCATGTCTCTTGCTACCTGCAGAAGAGCTCGACGTCACTTGAACATTCCGCGTCATGCCGAAGTCACTTATCTTGATCACCAAATGCTCGCCCAACTGATAGACACGAGACACGACAACAAGAGGCTTTGGCCATCGAGTGAGACATGAAGGCCGTCAGCCCTCACGAGAATATTCCCTGGTTTCAAGTCTCGATGCAGGATTCCGTGGTTGTGAAGATACTGCACACCCTCGCATATCTGACGGCAATCGACACACAGATCTAGACGAGACGCGTGACGGCTTGCCCGCTCGTACCTCTCTCACGAATCTGTCTCGCACATCCAACGGCAGTGGTCTGTTCTTGACCAAATCTCTGTCCAGCGATCCGCCCTGACACAATTCTGAGAATGACAAACACGCGACGCACAGACAGGAAGCAGATGGATGGAATCGAGAAAAAGTAGAGTACCTGTGACAATCATGAGGCCGTGCTTGGCGTCCATGCAGACACCGAGGAATTGCACTATGTTGGGGTATCGCAGATGCTGCATCTCCTGAGCCTCGAACAGAGCATCCTATATCGCGCCAGCCATCAGCTCCTGCATGACATTCGTGTGCCACGTTATTTGACACGCACTGTGATACTCACTGTTTCGGTAAGCTCCTCCCCGGTGAGTGAGGAGGCCTCCCTTAATTTCTCCATGTTTGTGATCTTTACAGCCACGTCCAGACCCTTCCACTTGCCCTGGTACACTGTCCCGAACGCCTCACCCCCTGACATACACGCAGATGAGTCAAGGGTATCGGGCCAGCAAGTGGTCGTGAGGCGCACCAAGCTTCTTTCCCCACATCACAGCCAAGTTCCTCGCCCTGATCAACAGCCGAGAAACGGAAGCAGGGGGAACCAACACCGGCTCTGCACGCAGTCAAGCAGTCAGGATTAGGCGAGGGGGCCTTCTCGTCTCATTTGACCTTCAGTGGACCTGTCTCTTTTGACGGAGACGGCGACATGCCCAGCTTGGTCAGCAACTATCGCGCAGTCAGGCAAGCAGACACGACATGCCGACGCCTCTGTCCAATAGTCTATGGCAGGTACCTCTTTGGCTGTGGGGCGATCTTTCGGCTTGAAAGCAAAACAACTCTGATCACCGTCACAATCGGAAGGGAAATGCAGCACACGAGAAGGGCTCTCGGTTTACCTTGATGGCACTTTTGATGTGCTCAGGCAGGGAATCGGGGATGCGGGGGGTCTGACAGAAGTAGGCAGAAAGAGAACTTCAGAGGATCTGTGCACATGTGTCAACGTGGCAGGTCACCTGCTTTCGGACGACAACGGCGGTGATGATGATGAGAGGTGCTTAACCCTCAAAGGGAGGCCCGCCTGAACATTACAAGTGAAGGCTACTGTCTTTGACTGAAAGTGCATCTGCTGACCGCCAAACAGCTGCGCGATAATGCATCCAACCGCCCATATGTCCGCCTCCATAGAGGGTTTCCCCACTGCACACACCGGCGGTGATTCAAGTTCCCAAGGCGACCGTCTTTTCTTGCACTCACACTTGTCTGGATCCAATGATTCAGGCGACATGTAATTGGGGGTTCCCTTAATGCCGCCTGCAGTCTAGGGACGGATGCACCAACACACACAGACGCACCTCGCTCACCGCATTCCGCCATCCCATGTCTCTTGCTACCTGCAAAAGAGCTCGACGTCACTTGAACATTCCGCGTCATGCCGAAGTCACTTATCTTGATCACCAAATGCTCGCCCAACTGATAGACACGAGACACGACAACAAGATGCTGCAGCCATCGAGTGAGACATGAAGGCCGTCTTCCCTCACGAGAATATTCCCTGGTTTCAAGTCTCGATGCAGGATTCCGTGGTTGTGAAGATACTGCACACCCTCGCATATCTGACGGCAATCGACACGCAGATCCAGACGAGACGCGTGACGGCTTGCCCGCTCGTACCTCTCTCACGAATCTGTCTCGCACATCCAACGGCAGTGGTCTGTTCTTGACCAAATATTTGTCCAGCGATCCGCCCTGACACAATTCTGAGAATGACAGACACGCGACGCACAGACAGGAAGCAGATGGATGGAATCGAGAAAAAGTGAAGTACCTGTGACGATCATGAGGCCGTGCTTGGCGTCCATGCAGACACCGAGGAACTGCACTATGTTGGGGTGTCGCAGGTGCTGCATCTCCTGAGCCTCGGACAGAGCATCCTATATCGCGCCAGCCATCAGCTCCTGCATGACATTCGTGTGCCACGTTATTTGACACGCACTGTGATACTCACTGTTTCGGTAAGCTCCTCCCCGGTGAGTGGGGAGGCCTCCCTCAATTCCTCCATGTTTGTGATCTTTACAGCCACGTCCAGACCCTTCCACTTGCCCTGGTACACTGTCCCGAATGCTCCACCCCCTGACACAGACACACAGAGGTACACAGAGGTCACCCAATCGATGACATCGGGCCAGCAATTGGTCGTGAGGCGCACCAAGCTTCTTGTCGCTCACAGTCAGGTCCCTCGCCTTGATCAACAGGCGAGGAACGGGGGAAGCCATGAGGGGCGAACTTACTCTACTCCGAGCAGTCCGTTCCTGCCCTCACCGCCGCCCCAAGGATTCGGGCGGGTATCTGGCTCCGGCAACCCCCGCAACTGACATGGACAACCGGCGAGAGATGACAGATAGTCGCCTCCTGGGGCTTTCGGGACTCGCGAAGCTTGCGAGCGAGGCACGCTCTTTCGGGACTCGCGAGCTTTTAGGGAGCGAGGCACGCTCTTACCCGAAGTTCGTGTCCGTTCGTTTGTTCGTTCGTAATTGGGGCCATCGAGACTTTTTCATTCGGTACCGTCTTCGATGGGGGCTTGCATGCGAGCTTGGGGGCTTTGCATGCATTTCGCGACGCGGCCGCCGGAACGCGGAGCGAGTCCCCAAGAGTGCAACGGCTACAGCCCCCAAAGCAAACCTAGCAAACCGGCCCAAGCAAAGCAAACCAACGGACGAACCTTTCCTCTGGAGGGTCAATGAGCGAAGCAGAGCAAAGCGAAGCAGAGCAAAGCCCTCTCTGTGCCGGTAATGCTGAGTGAAAAGTTGGGGGCCAGCCGAATGGGTCCCGTGACAAAGCCAAGCCAAAGCTCGCCAAAGCCAAGCAAAGCTCGCCAAAGCCAGACAAACCTTCGCAAATTTACCTGGCCCCTGTTGCAGGGTGCAAGAAATGACACATCAATGATGAGTCTGTCATGAGGAAAGTGGTGTCTTGCGTGCATGTTGTGGTGTATATCGCTGCGCTGATGAAGGGAGGGAAGGTCCCTCATCGTCAGTGATTCGTCACTCCATCAGCGCACGAGCATTTTCGGGTTACTTTGTGGGGTGTACTGTCTGCTTTCGCTCCTCTGGGTCTGTATGTGCATGTGTAAGTGTATGTGTGTATGCTCATGCGTATGAATGAGACGCGCGGCCTCTACTGCGAGCTTAGCCGCGTCTTGTAAACTTGGGGGAGACAGGATGGAGTAGACAGGGGAGGAGAGACCGTTGAAGACAGCCCAGCGGCAACGGTCTCTCTGCTTTGGGCTGTCTTCAACGGTCTCTCTGTCTTTTTCTTGCGTCGGCGCCTTCCTTATTCCGACTGGTTGACCTCTGTGTGTTGCTTCGTTTCCCCCTTTCGTGCTTGTTTGAGCATCGGACAGTCCTTTCTATTATCAGTGTGTGTGTACGGACGCTCACAGCGACTGATATCTTTATCATCGGTCACTCTCAATCAACCACAGCGAAGATCTTCGCCACCAAGCCAATCCGCCTGTCGCTTCACACATCCATTCTTCACTAAGACCCGCTCGCTGAATAGACACTCGGAAGCTGGAAGCAGCGAGCACCACCCAAACACTTGGCAACGCGAAGGGCTCGCAGCCCAAGCGGAGCCGACGTCATAGCTCAATCTTCAGCGCTCTTCCGTGGGGCCACATGTGGATGCCTTCTCGAACACCAATCAGCACACAACACGTACGTCGAATTCGTTCGGATCGTGTGCATGAAGGGCTGCCTAAATGGATTGACCGGTGTGTTGAGGAAATGATGCGCCCGCAGCTCGCAAGAGCTAAGAGAAAGGCGTACCCTAGTCTAGATGAATTAAAAGTGCTCGTACACGCGAGGGTTTGGAGCTGAGGGTCCCTAGACACCTCACACACACCTGGCGTCTTCGGACGTGTTTGTGCTGGTTGTCAAGCCTGGCTCTTAACTCTTGACCCGCTGAAGCTACTCACGTTTCTTCAACAGGTTATAGAGCCCACTGAGCACCTCCCAAGGGGAGAAGGCTTGTCGAGCACCAGAACACAGATCTCTGTGTGTGTGCTGTGGTTCGACTCAGCATGAGTCTGAGTGGTCAGGTCACGCCTCGTCAAGAGGGTGATCACGACCCACACCAACACACTGAGGTGGACGTCATGGTCGGTGATGTCGAGATGGGTGGCGTCAGGGCTGCTGTGGCAGATCTCTGCCTCGAGGAGGAGGGAGGTGGTGCTTCCGGTGGTCACAATGGCCAAGAGGAAGGTCAACAGCCCTCGCCTCTCGAGCAGCTATGCGCCTTCGCTCTCAAGTGGGAGAGTCTGACATCATGCGACGCATCTGGTGTGGAACGCTGTGTCTCATCTGGTGGCGGCATCTCTGTGGTCGGTCGCCGCCGTGGCAAGGCTCTTACCGTGCCCGCTTGGGTGACCAAGATGCGACCCCAGCAGCAGACGCTGAATGAGACTGAGGCGGAAAGCATGTTGATCGGGTGTGATGCGACACGTCGAGCACTTGGTGGTTTGCAGCAGACCATGCTCGAAGTGCGTCGACCTGCCCAGCACACACCGATCGTGGCTATGCTCGAACGACCGAAGGTCGAGGAAGTCCCCAAATGGGATGGCGAGGCCGCAAGCTATGCGGTATGGCGCTGC